GCCAGCCCTGACCCCGCCCCCTGCCAGGACTGACCCCGCCCCTGGCCAGCCCTGACTGCCCGCCAGCCCCGCCCCTGGCCACCCATGACCCTGTTCCCCGGGGCCACCTGATAGACGTCATCACGTGTCACCAGACCCGTCCTCGCAGCTGCTCTAGTGCCCGGGCAGACCATAGTCGGAGCCTCTATGGGTGGGCTCTGAGACGCCGTGGGTGGCACCTGGTGAGGGCCCCCGGCAAGCCTGGGCTCTCCGTTGCGGGGCCTGTCCATGCACTGCCCTCCAGAACCCCAGTCCTCAGGGCTGACCAGCTCTGGCTGAGGTGGCCCGGGGGTCCTCGGTCTGCAGCGTCCCAGGCTGTACCATCAGCGTCCTGGGGCACACTGCCGGCCACCATCTCGGGCTCCTGCCTTGCTCCCCACGGGGGAAGGTGGTTGTCACCCAACACCACTGTCCCCACCCTCAGGAACGCCACGGCCCCTGGGAGCACAGGGGACGTCCCACTGTGCCCCAGCCTTGCATTCACCCCACCCTGTCCGCCAGCACCGAGATCTTGGTCAGCTGGGGTCCCCTGTGCACCAGGCCCAGGGTGCCCACAGGGAGCTCAGGGGACATGGGTGCCTGGCCGGCCTGCGCTCAGGTCTGGCATCTCCCGGCTCTGAGCCTCCAGCCCTTCCCTGGCACAGCCCAGCAGTCAGCCCTGTGGGACCTGGGACCCGGTCCGGTCCTCGCGCCCAGGGGCCCACCTGTCACCAAGCGCTTGCTATGCCAGCGCCCCGCCCCCGCCAGCAGGGCTGCGAGTGTGGCCCTTACTGGAGGGGCCTGTTTAAAGCTGCCTGCCAAGGCCTTGGGTTCCTGTCAGCAGGGAGGTGGCCTGGGCAGGGTCGGCCCGGCTGGGTGCCGGCCAGTGGTTGGCTCTGAAGGGACGCTGCGTCTGGACCGCCCGCAGCCGAGCTCAGGGCCTGGGTGAGGGTGTGGTTTGGGGGCTTCAGGGTTTGCACTGTGACCCTGGGAGGCTGAGGGTGCAGGCTGGCCCTTGAGGACCAGGACGCCCTGCCCCGCAGGTCACACAGAAGGCTCCAGGCTGGAGACCCCCGAGTACATCCGGGGTGCCCTCTGCCCATGGAAAGAAAGTGGTGTTAAACTTATAAACATGCATCTTTTTAAAATGATAGACTTTCCTTTCTGGTCCTCGCAAGTTTACTCCCTCTTGTGATCTTCCAAAACCATGTAATTGTTTACTGTTCCGTTTCCTGTAAGGCATGTGCACTCACCAGAGCGAGCAAGCGCCAGGTCCAGGCCTGGAGCCGGGGCTGCCCATGTCTGTGCAGCTTAGCCACTGTGCCACCTGCCACCCTTATACTCATGCCTTTTAAAGACAGCCCGCCTTTCGGCCGGCCGGAAGCCCCGCCCCACGCTAACCGCGCACCTGCTCCTGCTCACCACGCTGGCCTTCCGTCAGCTCCGGGTCCCGTTCCTCCTGGTGGCTTTGCAACTTGGCACCTGCTGGAGTGGGCTCTGCAGCCCCTCCCCTGGGGCTACGTGGTGGGTGACCTTGGCCCCTGGGCCCCTCTGCAAGGGCGAGGCCTGAGCCACGTCGCGGGGACCCGAGGGACCCGAGCACGTGAGGTGGTGCGAGTGGGCACTCACCATAGCCCTGCTGCCCCACCTGGACTGACCAGAGTGGCCCTGGTGTGTTGGCCCCGGGGACCTGGGGTTATGCAGCAGCCTGGGTCACATGCCTGCAGGGCTGCAAAGCCAGCTACAGGGCGCAGGGGAGGAGCTCCTGGAGGGTGTGGGACTCACCTGGGGTGGGTTTGCACACCTCCAGGGGCTGGGGACACCTGGGCCCTGGGCAAGGCCAGGACAGCCACAGCTGCCCAGACGGGGACTCGTGTCTGACTGAGGCTGGTGCATGTGGCTTGTGCAGAGCTGCGCCCGTGTGCTCCCCTCCCACGGCCACAGGACGGACAGCTGGCGGGTGTTCCCGGGGCTGACCCGCCCCTTGGGGACGGAGCCAGAAGCAGGGCTCAGGCCGCCCAGCTATGCCCCCAACCTTTGCCTGCCTGTGGGTGAGTGGAGTGGGGTCACGGTGGGAGACACGGGCGGGGCCGGCCCACGCCCCACACTGCCCATTCCTGCCCTGGGGGCTGGCAGCCCCTCCCACACATTGCCGACCTGGCACCGAGAGCCGGTCAGGAAAGGGCTGGAAGCAGGACAAGGGCTCCCTGGCATGTCCCAGCTGGGGTTTTCTTTTTCTTTTTTCTTTTTTTTGGAGAGGTTTTTGCTACAGGGAGTGTGCACTCACCAGAAAGACAGACAGACAGAAAGCAAGTAATCAAAATCACCCCCCGGGGGGATAGCCACACCTCAGTCCCTTCTCTCGGGATCTTGGGCAGGCATGCACACGCGCCCTGTGTGAGTTTAAGCCACCGAGTCCGGGACTCAAACCAGGGTTGGCCACATGGGAGTCCAGCGACATAACCATTACGGCAACGGCTCAAGTGCTGGTCCCCCGAGCTGGGGTTTTCAGGCAAGCCTGGCTGCATCAGGACCCCTGCCTGAGCCCCTGAGCCCCCATAGCCGGGGCCACAGGTGCAGCTGCCCCACCTTGCCCAGCTCTTTGGGGGATGTTCTGTTTTAGTTTGCTATGGGACATGTGTGCTCACGGAGAGAGAGATCCCCGGGCGTGGCCACGCAGTCCCTTCTCCGCTCTCCTGGGATTCACCACACACATGTGCTCGGTGTCCTCAAGCCATCTGGTCTGGGACTTGAACCGCGCAGTTGGCCACCTTCGCCACGCCCCTGGCTGACCCTGCCATTCCACTCCGTGAGCTTGTTTCTCCCAAGACAGGCAGTGGCCTTGGCCAGCCTGGAGCAGGGGCACGTGCCAGCCCGGTGTATCTGCCTGCCGGAGTGCACTGACAGAGGCCTCCCACGGGACCGACGGGCGGACCCAGGGCCAGCCCGCACCCTGGCTAGGGCGGCCGAGTCCTAACCACGCTGGCCTCTGCGTGCCCCAACTCCCGAGAGGAGAAACAGACGGCGTGGGCGAGCCAGGCCCTTGGGGTGAGGCAAGTGAATGGAGGAAGGCAGCCGGACCTCCTCCCCGCAGACCCTCCTGCTCTCTTCTGTTGGGGAGACCCACAGGCCCCCATCAGGCCCTGCTCTGACCCTCCAGGCTGCAGTCCCCGGTCCCCCAGCACCATGGCCGTCCAGGTCTACGTGGCTCGCCATGCTGCCAGAAAGCCGCAGCCCCCCAGGGACACCTGACTCCGGGGTCCTGGATAGCACCCGAGCTGGCCTGTCCTCTGTCTGGGTGTCTGTCTGTCACCCAGAATCCCCGCTTGCCTACGGAATCTGGGAACCCTGCCCGCCCCGCACTGGAGCACCTTGGGCGTCACCACTCAGGAAATGCCTGAGGATGAATCGCGCTGAGGGCTTTTCCAGCCCAGTTCCCAGAGGCCCTCGGAGCAGGGCGGCGTCCCCCTGGCCCCAGGGCAGGCTGGAGGCCCTAGCAGGTGCTGGTGTCGCCTCTGGTCTTTGTCGGCGCGGGGAGACCACGAACTCCATCTGGCCCAGCCGGGACAACGGGCACCTGTCACCCCTGCCCCGTCATTGCCTTTAAGGTAACCTGGGGTCCAGGGGTCGGTGTAGCCCAGACACCCGAAAGTGTGGCTCCCCTGAAGCCCCTGGCAGCACCCGGGTCACCAGCGTGGCCCTGGAGTCTAATCTGGCTTTGTCTTGGAGCTCGCGTGCGGCCTGGGGGGATCGCGTGGCCGCTCCGCCCTCGGTTTCCCCCGCGGG